AAAAAAAAAAAAAAAAAAAAAAAAAAAAGAGAGGCTTTGTATTCCAAGCTCCAACAGTGACTATTTGCTGAATCAGTCCAGCGAACAGGGATTACGCTCCTGGAAGAGCAAGTAGAAGCCTCCTTCGGGTAAAATCTGGAACCTCTAAAGTGCTCCTGCTAATGCTAATAGATGAACACTGCCCTTCCATGCCCAGCAGTGGAAGGGCGTAATGCAGTTAGTGGTATAACAAGCACTAGCATTTAACCATTTATCACCTCCCATCTGGATTGCGGTAGTTTTCTGAAATGCACTTTTGGGAGATATTTCCTATGAGAAGAGGATGTTTGGGGATTTGAGTGTAGGAAGGTGAAGTGCACACCATAGCATACCTTGTTCAGTAAAACCGTTGCCTTGGAAGGTGATGTTCCCTTGCAGAGTCAATGGAATAAAGCATCCTGCAAGCGGCCATTTCACCGTGTCGCCAACAAGCAGCTCTCGGTTTGGTTAGAATGGTTTCCCCCTCCCCCAGTGGTTTGAAGAGTTCACAGTGGTATAACCCAATGTTTTGGGGAGACAGAAGCTGAGAAGTCCCCTGTTGCAAGTGAAGGCGTGGAGTGAGGGATGCAGATGAGCAACATCCTCTAGGACTAAGGATAAGCCCAACAGACACCTTGCGTCTGATCAGAAACAGGGGGAAGGTAGGCACTGGAAGAACCGGGAAGCAGAGAAGGGTAATGCCAACGCAGGGAAAAGTGCATGATCTGGAGTGGTCTCGGAGTAGTTCTGCAGTGCAAATGTATGGGGAGGGGCGTGGAGAAATCCCTTCTGGAATGCTGCATGAAGAGAGGTAAAGGTTGGCATCCATGTGGCAGCGGACTGGGTAGGGGGCCTGTTTCCAGCAGCTCTACCCTGTTCTTCACATTTAGTGGGTTTCAATCACCACTGGCTCGTAAACTCCAGATGAGACCCTGGGGACGCAGAGGGGGAGAAGATGAGAAAGCCAGGTTATTCTCCTCAGTCACTCAGAGCAAGCGAGTTCTCATTCAGAGCTCTCCACTCACAAACATCGCCCTCTAACCCCACACAAAATACTGAAAATAACGAGTCAGTCTGGCGAGAAGTCTACCCTCATAACACAAAACAGACAGCTACGTGGCAAGCTAACACTAGAGCACTTGAAAGAGCTGGGTGTAACACATGAATCCTTCTAAAGGACAGAGGAAAGGGGGAGTATCCTGCGCAAAGAGCCAGTGTTCCTGGCTTTGCTTTGCTCCCAATTTTGTCACTGACTTGACACATCTTTGCCTTACCATTATTGCCCTTTTTTTTTTTTTAACTCAAAAGATGCTATAAAGGCTCAAACGCAACTAGCCAAGACACTGTACCAAGAGCTATTGTGGCAAGAAAAAGTTTCATTTGTTCAGAAGTCTTTCACGAGAGAACAAGCCCTCGACAAAGACAGAGGAGGCAGGGAAAAGGGACAATAAACCAGGCTGCTGCAGTTTTGCTGCAGGCCAGCAGGAGGCAAAGCTCCCTGCCTTCAGTCAGGAGTAGGAACAAAACAGGAACCAACCTCTACCATTTTGTCCTTTTACTCCTTACTTCTGTTCTTGGATCTAACAACTAGGATCACATTAACCCTCTGAGCTCCTGCTGAGAACTGCATTCATACTCCAGTGCAGCTGTAGCCTGTCACCAGAGCGATCCCAGGGGTGCTAATGTGGGAAATAAAGCCACCACGTAGCACATGATGTTTAGAAATCTCTCCTGTAGCAAAAGGTGAAAGTTTCCTGGGTATAAAGAGCTAACTAATCTCTCCGGAGCACCTCTCTCTGTCAGCCTTTCAGGAAGCCTACCTGTTTCCCAGCTGAATACCACTCAATGTAGTTGTTCCATCTCTGCTCACAAACAACCTCAGGTTACTGTCTGCAGATAGAAAAGAAAGTAAGACATCAAAATCCAGAACTACCGACAGCTGCCAGGTGCTCCCCTCCCAGCCGCGTTACACAATGGTCAGCATGGGAACAAGTGTGTTTCTGGGAATGCATCTGCACGCTTTCTGGTGTTCCCACAGTAATAGAGCCCCTGGGAACTCCTCTTCTTGCTCTGAAAGGGAACCTCATGTACAAATCAACCACAGCATTAAGCTTTGGAAGAATATAATTCAGTGTTACTCCTCCAGCTGCTTCTTTTAAGGCAATTCCATTGATGCAAGTTCCTGGTCAGCTTAAGCATATCTGAACAGATGAGATATGGGGCCTCATGCTGCTTTTGTAGGCTCACTGGAGGAGAAACTCAGGCTGTTCTGCTGGCGAGAGGTGGCTACATTCAGTCTAGTTTTAACCCACGCCAGGCGAGGTGTAAATCCCCATATGATAAGAATGTTGCCATATGTGATGATTTAAGGTCACTAACTATAGAAGTACTAATAACAAGCTAGGCTCAGGTTTAAAACTTACTGAAAAACCTAGATGAAAAAGATTGATTTCTAGGCTAAACTGGAAAATGAAAACAAATGTGATGATATCATCAGTTTTCTCTTAACAGATGCTGTGACTGCAATGGAGAAAACCCCTTCTTAGGCTCTCAGACAGACCTGATCACCAGCACACTGTGACCCACCTTTCCTCCCACCTTTTTGCAGAGACATGCTGTTTCCCCTCCAGTTGTGCTCTCCTACTTTGATAAATACCCTTGGGCTGACCCTGGATGAAGGCCACTAGAGCAGTGCAGACAGCTGATGTAACCGATTTCCACTGCCCTGAAGAATTGGTATTTTTCCCCCCTCATCCTGTATGTTTGAGCTACCGTTCAACCTCTGCTGTAGGGTGTAGAACAGCAGCAAGCGCTATTTGCTAATGGATGTGCAGATCTCACATCCACATGGTTTGTTTACCTGCCATAGAAACACCTAGCAAGCACTGAAAGCAAATTGCTGTCAAAAGGAGAAGGGAGTCCATGGCAGATTGGATCTGACTTGCTAAAAGAACAGCCAAGACCTCCCCTTTGAGAGTCATCCTCTCACCTTCAGTATTGCTGACATCCGTGAAGTCCTGACTCTGCATTATTTTCTCCACTATATCATCAGCATCGATCCTGGTGTCATCCACTCGGGTTGGGTGACTCTCCACTGAATCCTTTTTCCTCCTGGGGAGAGAAAATAAAGGGAAAACCTACTCGGCTTTTCAAGACACAGACTTTCAGATACTCTCCTGCTTCCCTTGGCAATAGCCTCCTTCTCAGCAGCTACAATCCAAGCTACCACTGCACGGAGACAAAGGAGTAGATTCTGTCTCGCCTCCCCAGAGAAGGCACTTTACTCCTCAGTTACCTACCGGGAGGGTCTATCCAGCAGAAGGGCTGGTCTGGGGGGGCGAGGTGGCTTCTCTAGTTTGTGGTCCCGCTCTCCCTCAGGACACTCCACCGTCATACTCAGCCCTCCAGACGCACTGCTGCTGGTGGAGGTATTCCGGCGATGGGTCAAGTCGGACATACTAGAAGAACGGGAGTGCTCCGTGCTGTAACCTGCAAAAACAGCGTGATTACAAACCAGATCTTCTCCCCTTCCTGGCAGCACAGTTAACAGGCAGGGCAGCTTCAGACCAGCATTTCTGCTCCCATATACAGAGGTTTAGACATACATCTATGAGTTCATCTGCAGAGACTAAAGAGGAGAGTCTGATACTAAAGAGCAGGGTGAGAGAGATGGCTGGAAATCACTCTCACAAAAGCTTGTTGCAGGAAAGAAAAAGGGATAGGGCCAGTGCTGGCAGAGCCGTACGGATCAATGGTTACCAGAGATCTTGGACTGCTGGCTGGCGTAGCTGGAGTTCCGCGAGTGCCCCGAGTGGAAGACTTCCTCTGGGCTGGACAGGTTCTGATCCGGTTCTTCTGGGACACCTGCCAAGGAACAACAGGGCACTCCACTTACACCGTACCCAAGCCAGCACGTTGCCTGCTGATCACCTGGGACTGGAAGTTGATCTTGGGACGCTAGATCAAGGAAAGGGCAAGTCTGTTGGCAGAGCCCTGCTGAGCTTAGAAGCAGTTGGGGAGTAGGGGAGACAACAATGAGCTTCTTTGTCAAGCTTATCACTAATTCCAGCATCCAGTGCCTGAATTTGCAAGCATCTCTGGGGGCTTGAAGGATCTAGAAGGACAGGTAGTATCCAAAGCTATTCATAGTTAAAAGCACTAAGCTAAGACCAAGAAAGCATCAAATGGCCACTGGCAGTAAAGTATTGCAACCTCCGTTTGGGTGCTTCTCCTGTTACTACCTTTCCCCTTCTATTACTTGTGAGAGCCCATGGCATTTAAATCACATCTGAATTTGATACAGAAACCTCAGCATAACCTCTGCTCCTTTGCTGTTGTCCCTGCTTGTCTCTCTTGCAGCAAGCTTATCCAAAAGTGCACAAGCGTGACACGTTAGCCAGCTTTTTAAGAAGAGAACTTGCACACTGCTAAGCCACTGAGGCGATGAGACTAGAGCACTGTTTTGGTGCAGTGTATCTGCCTGCACATTTGGAGTGTGCTGGGAAGAAAAAAGGCTATGACAAAATGCAGTGCCCTTGAAAACGGGCTCATAGACAAGCCAAAGAACTCTGCATCAGCAGCTGGAACAAGGCCATCAGACCTCAAACCAACCTCTAAAACCTTCAGAGGAACTTTTCTAGAAGATAAGTCTGAGCAACAGAATAGCTGAGTGGAGAACAATGTTAAGTGTCATTAAACACAATGGGAAGCAGGGATGAGTGCAATACATGAATTATTAAATCCCCAGCAAAAAGAACAAATTGCTTTATCTCCACTAACAGAAACATGTGGCAAAGATTCATGCTTCCTCTCCTCAGTTCCACTTAATAAATGGTTTTGTTTTTCTCAGTTTTCTTAATGAGCAGAGGGGTGAGGATGGGTGTGGGAAAACATGAAAAATTAAAGAGTTTCTGTGCTCGCAACTGCTGGGAAAAACAAAAGTGTGTCCAGGCACAGCCAAGCATTGGACTCCAGGACGGGCATTCATACCCGAGCTGAGAATGACAGTTCTTGGCTTGGTCTGACGCAGAGAGCCAATCGTGGCTGAACTGCTGCTGCTGCTGCTTGTGGTTCCCTCGCCCTTACAGGTCAGCTGCAGGGTAGAGTCCTGTCCTGGTATGGTGATGGATTTGGCGGTGGAAGGAGGCCTGTAATCAGAAGCCAAGAAGGTTACAAACTGCCAGGCAGGGACTGGGAATCACCCCACCGCACTGGCAATTCCCACTCTGCTCTACCAAGAGGGTTCCCCCACCTGCCCCTACCCTTCGTGGGGAGGGGGGAAGCTGGCAGCCCTCTGTGAGTAGCGACACAGAGTGACACTGGATTTTGCTTTCCTACATGCAAGACTCGGGTCTTCCCTACCTCATACTGCATCTGGACTGCATTACAAGGAAAAGCAAGTTTCTGAGGTAAATTAAGGCAAAAAGGGACCATTCAATTATTTATACAGGACAACAGGCTCAGAGCCTGCACTATCCTCCAGAAGACCATCCAGAACTGCCCTTTTCCCCCCAATATGTGTCCAGTGGCCAGCTGGCCTCACAAACAGGAGCTGGTTTGCTGTTGTCCACTCTAAATTCCAGCACCCTTTTGTTACACCTTTTTGGCTCAGGTCAAAAAGAAACCTTTTATCCCAGCAACCCCATCCCCCTATGAGAGTACTTTTACAATGATCAAATGACCTTTCCATTTTTTAACTGACGATTAACCTCCTTTTCAGTGAGACTGAAGTGTTTTTCCAGCTGTCAAAACTGTTTTTCTGGTTATTCTGTGTGCTCCCAACATCCCTTTGTAAATGCTGACTGCAGGGCAGAGTGGTGAGTGCCTGGAGCCCCCTCCCTTCCTCCAGAAGTGTTTTTGGGTGGAAGCCACAGCATGTGCAGCGTGGCAAAGTGAATATTCCTGTTGGAGCCCTAACCTCCCTGTAGCCCAAAGTCTGAACTGGAACTAACGGATCATATTATGCTTTTTAAGTGAGAAGCGAGAAAAAAAAAAAACCCTTTTATTTGTCTCACTTGGAGCTCTGAGGGAAGATGCTACATGAGAGGACCTTTGCAATATTTTCGGAAAAAAAAATAAAGCACTGAGAATATTTTATAAGGGCAGCCAAACAGCCATAAAGGTTTCAGGAAACCCACAGCATGCCTTCCCCAGGAAAAAAAAAAAACCCTCCCTAATCACATTATCAGTGATTTACATGCACCCAGGTACTTTGGGGACTTTGCTTTGCAGGTTAATAAGGCCTTTATAGCCTTAATCAAGCAAACTGTTCCTGCAGCAGCTGTCGGAGCAGCCTGTGGGTCTGCCAGCTCAGGCTGCTCAGCCTGCTCTGCCCTCCTGCACGACACCCAGGAGGAGGTTCATCTGAGTGCTGCAGAAAGTCAGTGCTCGGAAGTGATTTCTCAGCACAGTTTAATTCCTGCCTAATCCCCTAATGAGTGCCATTTCTCAAAAGCTCTACTGATCAAGGACTATTCCACATGCAAAGCTTCCATTTTCGGACATTTGCACATTGTCAACATATAAGGAAAAAATGGGAATGACTGCAGAAATCCTTTAAGAAAATTAGGAGGTTTCACTTTCAGACTGACCCTACTTATATTAAATGGAGATATATATATCCGATTCTGTATAATTTTCAGGCACTCTAACAGGGGGACTTGCTTCCACAGTGAAGGAGTGACAGGTATTTTTGTCAGACATATTACTGCCAGACATCCTAGTACCCTAGATTTAAAACATCTGTTACTGTTACAAAGTTATGGTTTAAGATATCTAAAACTTCTTTATTACACTTCCTTCTGAAGCAGAATTTTTTCACAATCAGATGACGCTGCATTTAGGGTTTGAAAGACTCAGAAAACGCTGCAGCACTATGAAAAACCATTCACAAAATCAACCAACCAAAAATTATGCAGCATTTTATGACAAGAATGCAAGCTAATTTATACACTTTAAGCTAGCTCCCGAAATTAGACCTTTTAGCCCAGAATACCACTGCTACAAGAGATGGCCTCAAGGTAAAGCTTTCTTCTCTCATACTGTTGGGAGTCAACACAAAATATTTATATCAACACATGGCAGTCCTGTATAGTCACACACCTTACAGCAATGCTAAGGCAGGTTGGCTTGGACTGCAGAGTCTTGCAATGCTATACGCAATATGAAGGCACATATTGCCGGTATATTTGTTAGTTGATCCCCCAACAATTCTTTAAGCAACAAAACTGCTTCATAGCTTAACTGTACTTATTCTTTCCTATCACGATGCATTAAAAATAAAAGTACATGACTGCAATTTCTCTGCTAATTAATACAAATTGTGAACCTGGGTCCCTGTAGAAGAAAAGGAGAACTAAAACGTTTCAGCCTTGCAGTATTTTTGTTGCTGTTTCAAGTCAAGATCTTTATCCTCTGTGGTATGTGCTGAAGTGTGTCCATTTCCAAGACTGTTTTCTTCATTGACCTTTCCCTTCTCGGAGGTCAGTGAAACCAACCCCAGAGCTATGAGAAATTCTGTCCTTCACGCAAAGCATGAATTTTGTTATCAACGTCCATTAGTTTCCAAAAACCTAACTGACACTAGCAGGGAAGATACCAGCACAACCAATAACCAAGCTGGGAAAACCAGAGCAGAGAACAAACCAACAGCACAGGCTGGCTTAGCTATTCTGGCTGACTCAACAATCCAGACCACCAGTTTCAACCTTTCCCCTGTACTTCCCAATATCAAGGGCATCTTTTCCCCCTCCCCATCAATTTTAGTCTCCAGCAGAGAACGGCAAAAGAATCAGGTGTCCTGGTCTGCCCAGAATGGGGCGAGCACCCAGAAACTCACGTTTTGAAGCAGGGGTCCCCCGAGAGCAGGGACATTCCGATCATGACCTGGAGAGGGGGGACAAGGCACATCGTTAGCCATGCTGCGGCGAGCTCCTCACTTCACAACAGTCAGGAGGTCAAGGGCTAGGTGTAAAGATTAGCAAGACCTAGATCATTTCCAAAGGAAATCAGCTTCAGGGATTTAGCAAGGTATTTCCCTCCCTGCCCCAAATCACTGGCATCAGTAACTCCAAGTCGCAGTGGCTCAGCAGGACACCAGCCTGGCCCCCCTGACAATGCACTTAGAACTTTCCCCTCCCCCTCCTGTTCACGCTTTCTTGATGACAAAGAATGCTATCGAGGGTCATCGCTTGGCCAAATGGATGCCAAGGTATCAAAGGGCAACTCTGATAATGGGAAACTTCCCAAGTCAGACTAGCAGCATAAAAGCAAAATCCTGTCTCTGTACATAACAGGACCTTCTCCCAGGCCTAGCACTGCACTCTGGCTGCGCTCTTTCCAAATTCAATAGTAGGATTTCACTGTAGCCGCACCAGCTGCCGTACCTTTAGGATGGAGTTGTCCTGTCGGGTGTTCTTAGTATCATATCCTTCCAGCAAGCAGCAACGGACAGTGGATCCAGAGCCCGCAAATTCTGCCAGATTTAGATCAGCAAAGCCCAGCTGTAGCCAAGAAAACAATGGAGGGGAAGGGGAAAGAACAAAAATCACTCAATAAAGGGATACGCAGTGTCACACAGACCAAAGGAAGAGAGTGCATCTGCGAGCGAGGGCAGAAACAGGAGCCGGTACGCACACAGTCGTGGCTGTGAAGACCCCCTACTCTGGAGGACGGGCAGGGTCACATTCCTAATGCCCAGCCAGGTGGACACTCGGAGGCGTTCAGGAAGCCAGCCCCGCGTGGAGGAAGGACGTACAGTAGTGGTGCTGGCCAGGAAAGTGTTAACCAGCCCGCAGTCGTTGCATAACCAAGGACATGGAAGGCACTAGGTCAACGATGTGGAAAAAACAGAATCACACATACACAAACATAATAAGGCACTCTTTGTATTGGGCCATCCCAGAATGCAGTGGAGCATGTGAACCAGGAGATGAAAGGATATTGTTACAGAGGAAAGTGACACTGTCCTGAAAAACAAAAAACTGAGACTTTTAGCACAGCAAGCTGGAAGTCCAGAGCCATGCAGCAGTGCATGTGCCTCACCTCCACAGATGCAGCTGCTGGGCTGGGGAACTCCTGGAGCCAAGTTTCCTCAACACTGCTAAGATTTAACTAGCAAGTGGTATGTTTGACAGGCAGAAGGGAAGAGAAATATTTGGAGAGATTTAGTTGTGAGCTCTCTAAACCTTCTCTAACAAAGGGGAAGCAAATAGAGAAGGTGACAGAAAGTTGAAGATTACAGGCAAATTCAAAGAGGGTATTGATGCCTCCAGAGTAAAGACAAACACAATGAAGAGTACTTTTGTTTTTCTGCTCTAATTTCTGGTATATTAATCCAGTGTTTCAAAGAAAAAGTTACAGCTTGTTTTATGCAGAGCTTTAGCAATAAAAGTCAGTCGTGTCTCATCTAATCTGATCAGGAAGAGATGCTGTACCCCATATTTGGCCAAACTGTCCAAGCATGGAAAGTTCGCGTCACTCCAACATACAGGTCAGCTTCCACAAGAACATGGAGAGAAGGTGGAGAAGCAGCAGCTCGGACCTAGCTGTTATTCTGTGCATTGCGGTACATTTCTCCTGCCCTAGTGTTGACAGCCGGATGATACAACTGAACAGGGAGCCCCACACAGTAGCACCATCCTAACGAACTGTGGTGCTCTGTCAACTGTGAAAGCTGATAGGGAGTCACAGCACAAGCCACAGTCACTGCCATATGAACCCTGCCTCCCACTGTTCCAAATCAAAAGTCTAAACGACAGCCTGCACAAGATAGATGATTCAGGAGAAGACAGCAGCAAGATTAGCATAGCTGCTTCCTCCATCCCATTCTCAAAGGGGAACCAGAGCTGATGGCAAAGGAAAAAAAAAAAGCGTGGGATAGAGCAGGAACCTTTCTTCAGCAAAAAAAAAAGGAAGGAAAAAAATGACCTAACTTTTCTCTCTTCTTAAGAATTCCCTTAACGCAAGTGTTTCTCCAGCCCTTGCTGTAGATGTTCCTCTGTCTCTTCTAGCCAAGGGCTACGCTGCTTGCTGAATATTCACTGATAAGGAAAAAACAGTGAATTTTTATCTCTCAGAGATAAACAGGACAGGAGAAAGCCACAGAGGGAGCTGCAGTCCATCACTGTGACAAAATTGGAGGACAGAGGAGACATAGCACGACGACACCAGCAGAACAACATGGCACAGGAGTGGCCCAGACCCAGATCCCTCTTCCTCCACCACAGCACTAACTTCTCTAAGATCAACATTGGAGGACAGAGTGTGGGAGAACCCTCCAGCAACCCATATGGTGTGCTGAGGTCAGAAGCTCTTCTCAGGAAGCAGACTCCCAGTATATAGAGGAAGGATCCCTTAACAAAAGGATGTTTTCAGATGTAACCTTTCAGAATAGTTTCCTCAGTTTTCCAGCCAGCTGATGGTGTTTCTTCCAGCTCAGGGAAAGAGTTTCCGCTTTATCAGTCCTTCCTGTTGGCTTCCGCTCTATAACCTCTGACACTGAAGTGACATTAACGTCAAACCAAAAGGTGCACGAGGTGGTGGAAACTCTGTCTTGAGCACAAACAGCTCTATCGCTCTCGGTCCCTGCTGAAGGCGGACCAGGTAAAGAGGGCATTCACAAGTTGCATTTTCCTCTACATCTGCCACAATTAGAGGATTTTTCAGCTGAATGAGTGTAGTTTAAAAAGGTGAGGACCTATTGTTTAGAATGGGAAAATAGTTGCATGAACATACACCATAGACCTCTGCTAGAAACGTTAGGAATCCCAAGTAAGTCAGCTCTGCCACGAGGACCTGCCTGGAACAAGCCTGGTCCATAGGGCAAGCCTGCAAGGCTTAATCACCCTGTCTGGTGTGACATCCCTCATCTCTCAACTGCCAAAATGCTCGGGCCATCTTCTGTTGAATTCTAGAACGCCTCTGTCTTCTTCACAGGAGACTAAGCAACATACCAGCCCAAGAGATGACAAGTACTTGAGCTTTGGTCTCTAATTCTGGGCTGGAGCAACTAGGTCTCTTTCAGAATGCCACTAAACACAACTGAAGACCGAGTAAAAGGGAAGTAGGTTAGAACATGGCCTGAATAAGAGCCCACGTTAACTCCACCATGGAGACATGCCTTCAGGCTTCCTTTAATTCTGCATTTCCAAATACTGTGGGAAGCCTGAGGATGGACGCCATGGGAGGAGCAGGCTGACGCATTTACTTCGTCTCAGAGGTATATCTCTTCCTCCAGCTATGCTGCTCTCCCTGGACAGGCAGCTCTGCAGAATGGAGGAATAACTTCCCCCCAGTGTGAATTTAGTGAAAGAGAAACTGATGGCCCTAGAGACCATGTCCTAATTAGCAGCAAAAAAGGAACAGTGTGGCAGCAACATTGCCCTCTATCACGCAGCACAGCAGTACATAGGAGTGAGTGCAGTTCACCCTTCAAAGCCAGTTGCCTCCATGGTCTCAGGAAGGATATCGATCGGGAGAAATTCTTACAAGGTCATGCGTGACCTGAACATCTGTTTATTAGCAACTAGCAGCAGTGACTCATTTTCAAACAAATATGGTTTGGGGCTCTGCGCGAGCTCAACTTCTAAGCCAACATTGTCTCTTGATCCAGCACAAAGAGGAGAAGGGGGTGGCCCACTGTCTCTCCCATCGCACAGGCAGGAAAACGGGGGGGAAACAAACCAAAACTAACATCCCGGCTGATCATTTTGTTTTTTGCCTCAATGTCTCTTGTGCTTTGGAGGGTGGTGATTTCTGCTGTAGGTTTCTGCCTGCACTCGCGAGGCAGTGAGGTGCCTACCCCATCCACAGCTGGCTGCTGTGTTCTGGAGAACAGAACTGGAGTCTGTGTTTCTTTATTAGTGAGATGTTGCCAGAAGCCAGAGAGTTCACATCTGACTCAGAACTTCCCCAAAGCTTGAGGACATGCAGATCATCTTCCCAACCCCCTTCTCAGATCCACATCCAGCGCAATCTGGATCCTGTCCCAGCAAGTCGATTTTTTCGGGAAATCACTTAACTCAGGCTTAAAATAGGAACTAATGACCGTTTGTCCAGATTGCTTCATGCAGCAGTCACTGGTTTCTAATGGGTGTAAAACACTAGCAGAAGACAAGACCATCATCACTCTGCCACATTTGCCCTTTCTGTGCTCTTACCTTTGAGTAGGTTTTTCCGCCCTTCAGCTCCTGTAAGGGGAGACAAAACAAACAGGAAAAGCAGCTATTTTGTGTGCTGGGGAAACAGGGGGAAAGTCATTACTCAATCCTGGAATTTGCTCTCAGGATTTCACAAACCTCTGTCTCTCAAGGGTTACCACCACCCTGGTTGCTCCCACCCTCTGTCAAGCGCCCTTGCTGGAGAGAACGGCTCCGTTCGAGTCACATCCTGGCCCAAACAATCTTTCCTTCCCACCACTGTCCATGTGATTCTTCTTGCTGCCAAAAAAGCAGCTAGTAACCAACACCAGTACACTGGTAGTACTACCTGCCAGAAGCAGAAGCTAGATGCTCACCTTACGGACAGATACTCGGCAGATGCAGGGGTCCAGGAGTCCTGTGGCTGGGTTGGCACTCATTTTACACACAAAGGTGAATTTCTTTTTCCAGCGGACACAGTTTTCCTGAACTTCCTCTCTATGAGAATGCAAAAAAAATACAGTCTTCAAATAAAGATACAAAGCCAAATCAATCCCAACTATTAAGTACCTTTTTTAATGACTGGCAACGTGGCCTGTAAACATCCTCTACAACACAGCTTGGTCCACACCACCTGAAACTGCACCACACAAAGGTGTTATGTTAGCATCAAGCTTTTCACTAGGCAATACAGGTAAAATCCACCTAGGTTACACGGAAGACTAATCAACTCACCAGCCGAGTTTGCCTTTAAAACTCTCACAAGCTCTCCGACATTTCCTGCTTAGCCGGTTTAGCTCATTCATCGTCCGGCTCGGACAGAGCCAGCCTGTGTAACCGAATTGGGCTGAAGGTTCGTGAGCTTATCGTCCTACCATGTGCCTGTTTTGTACAGCCTCTGTACAGCAAACGTGCTATGTGTCCTGGACAGCTTGTCCTTCCCAGGCAGCCATCCTGCTTCTTATGCTGGGACTAAGCCAGTGAGGACGGCCAGCTCGAAGGACAAAAATGCACGTGGAAATGCTCCTGGGTGCATGCAGACGGGACCACGCCAAGCAAACACTGTGCTTCAAATCATGAGGGGGGCGTTTCAGACCGTAAAGCAGCCTCAGCCAGGGAGGAGGCAGTTTTCCTTGCACAGCTTCTGAGCAGCCTACTCGCATCTCCACGGCAAGTGGAGAAGTGCATGGCTCCAGCATAGCCTGAGCCGCAGGAGGAAGAGAAGAAAAGAAGCCTTCCAGATTGCAGGAATCGCTTCAGGTATAGCTTTGGCTTCTGCAGAGCCCTCAGGGGAAGCTGGATTTCACCCTTCAAAGGAGGCAGGTTCAAAGGAGGCCGGAAACAAGGTGTGGAGGCCCTTCCACGGGGCTCTGCTTCCCCACTGAGCCTCTGCAGGACCTGATCCATTTATGGCTCAGAGCTTGGTCCTCAGCCAATTAAGCCCTCAAAGTAATGAGGGCGGGGGGGGGGGAGGGGGAGTGAAGGCACTTTTGACAGCTATGAGCTAGCAAGTTTGCATCTCGCTCTTATCTCTCCTCTTAGCACAGGACAAAGGGGCAAGGGCACCGGATAAAGTGTTTGCTTTAGCAGGGAAAGGGAGGCTTCCCACCATCTGACCGGGGCATGGTGTGAGCCAAAGAGATCGGTGGCAAAGGGGAGAACGATCAGTCTCGGTATCACCTCAACTCTCCTCCTGGGAAGGCAGGGGCAGAAGTTGGTGCACAGCCCAACAAGCCCTTCTGCAACCTCAAGGTGAGCCCAACAGGACAGATACAAACCCTTATTGCAGCCTTTCAGTACTTAAAGGAGGCTTATAAGAAAGATGGGGACAGACTTTTTAGCAGGGCCTGTTGCGACAGGACAAGGGGGAATGGCTTTAAACTAAAGGGGGGTAGATTTAGGCTAGATGTAAGGAAGGAATTTTTTACGCTGAGGGTGGTGAAGCACTGGCTTTTTGGGGGCTCTGAGCAACCTGATCTAGTTGAAGATGTCCCTGCCCATGGCAGGGGGGTTGGACTAGATGCCTTTAGAGGGTCCCTTCCAACCCAAACTGTTCTGTG